GAACTCATCCTCATATACAATGTGCTGTGCCTGTTTAGACATACTTTCATTAGTGCTGCACCTGATCAAATATAAGCAAGAAACCTCAGACCCTTGTAAGAAAGCCTTTCTGTGGACAGTTGCTAACTTTCGAGTGTCTACTGCCAGTCTGCCACACAGCTGTTTTGTTTAACAATGCCTGAAGTGGTACCATCAGTTTCATAGGTGAAAATAGAGGATTTTAAAAAATAATATAGCTTGCTTCATAGTTTCCAGTCATTTATAGACTGTCAACTTCTCCCCATTTATTCCCACCTCCCTTGTACAACACCTATTACTTGAACATAGGGGATACTGAACAGTTGGAAGGATTTTGAATCTCCTCAACACAAAGAAACAGTTGATAAATGTGTGCAGTGACTGATCTTTACAATTTGTATACACGAACTGCAATCAAACTGTACCCCATACATAGGTACAACCCTGCCAATTTACTTCATTTTGTTCTTGTTTCTTTGAGATAGAGTCCCACTATGTAGCCCAGGCTGGCCTCAAACTCATGATCCTCCAACCTCAGTCTCCCAACTGCAGGGATTACAGGCATTCACAATTGCCTAAAATAAATATATACTTATTTATTTATTTTGTCAGTCATGGGCCTGAACTCTGGGCCTGCATGCTGTCCCTTAGCTCTTCAGCTCAAGGCTAATGCTCTACCACTTGAATCATAACACTACTTCGGCTTTTTCTGCTTATGTGGTGCTGAGGAATTGAACTCAGGGTGTCATGCATGCAAAGCAAGCACTCTACCACTGAGCCACCTTCCCAGCCCTAAAATAAATACTCTTAAATAGGAATGGGAGGAAGTGGTGCTGTGGCTCAAGCGATAGAGCGCTAACCTTGAGCTGAAGAGCTCAGGGACAGCACCCAGGCCCAGAGTTCAAGCCCCACGACCGACAAAAAAAAAGGAATGGGAATGCTAGTGACTGTCTCAGATGGAACTCATTCATAAGCAAAATTTGTGATAGAGATACGGGAATATCTCAGAGCCTTAATCAAATAAGTTACTGCTTGATGCTAAATTATGGACATTTGCAGGGAATGACCCCAAGAAATCACAGCCAGTAAGCCAGCCAGTGCAGGCATGGTGGTTTATACATGTAAGAGAGGTAGAAATAGAAAAAGGATTGTGGTTTGAGGCCAGCTTCGGCAAAGTTAGTGAAATCCTACCTCAACAGATAAACCAGGTGTGGTGGTACATGCCTAACATTGGGAGGCATAGGTATCATGGAGTAAGGCAGCCCAGAGAAAATGCACAAGACCTGATCTAAAACACAACTCAAAGTAAAAAGGACTTAGATCATAACTCATGTGGTAAAGTGCTTGCCTAGCAAGTGTTAGGCCCTGAGTTCAAACCCCTGTATGCTTTCCCCACCCTTCACCTAAAAAAGAATAGTCATGTGGGCATAATAATCATCAAACAAAAAGTAGCCTAGTATTCTAAAATCTTTGTTTATAAAACTAACTAGAATCCAGGGGCTGGGAAGGTGGCTCAGTGGTAGAATGCTAGCCTTGTATGCATGAAGCCCTCGGTTCAATTCCTCAGCACCACATAAACAGAAAAAGCTGGAAGTGGTGCTGTGGCTTATGTGGTAGAGAGCTAGTCTTTAGCTGAAGAGCTGAGGGACAGGGCCCAGGCCCAGAGTTCAAGCCCCATGACTGACCAAAAAAAAAAAAACCAACTAACTAGAAGCCTATGGAGGTTATTTGGCTTTTATAGTACAGAAAATTCCTTGGGTTACTCACAAGTAGGGTTACTCACAAGTAAAGAAATTTGACGAGGTGTCTTCCCACTTCCAGTCTGCTTCCTTGAGTTCCTGTCTGGCCTGGCCCTAAGAACAGTATCCATCTACCCAGGCTCTCATAGGTCTGACATAATGTCCAATGAATAAAAGCACTGGACAAACGTGAGCTTGTAATACTTCTGATGTCCTGATTCTGATTCTTTCCTTAATTATTCCTCTGCCCACAATATACAATTAAAAATTGCTGCGTTTTCACTAGTGAAAAGCATCCACTATGGTGCTAACACATATGTGAAATCAGTTCCCATCTGATTGGGAGTCATTAACATTTCTAATTACAATAATCTCCTTTTCAGCTGAAACCATGAAGGCAATCATTTTCCATACTTGGTTATTTGCTCATTTTTCTCAGTACTGAGAATTGATCTCAGGGCTTCATGCTTATTAGACCAGTGCTCTACCACTTGAGCCACACACACAGAACTTTTTTTGTCTTATTTTTCAGGTAATGTCTTGCATTCTGCACAGGGATACCGTTTTGTGATCCTCCTACCTAGCCTCCCCTTTTCCTGGGATTACAGGCACATACCACCATGTCTGGCCACTTCAAGTGGCTAGATAACAAATGTATTTCTGTTGGTTTTCACTGTGTTAAGTCCAGTAATATTTGATGACATTACAACAATTTACTTTTTGTTGAAACATAAAAGACATATGCACCAGGCATAAACTCAGGCTTATAATTGTAAGTTCCTAGCTTTCATAAAACTTTAATATAGTAGGCCTAAACATACAAAAATAAGAGAACTCTATGACCTTTCTTCACATAATCAATCCATTATTCCTGGCCAATCTTGTTTCTGCTCCTCTCTTACCAACCTCCCTCCTCTTGCCCAAGACTGCTTTGAAGTAAATCCAAGGCATCTACCATTTTACTATAAACATGGCTTTTTATAACATTTTTAAAATTCAAAAAAAAAATTAGAATGCTCTAATTGAAGATAAATGTTTGCCTGTTTTCCCTTCCTTAAAACTTCCTCCAAGAAAATGAAGAATCCAATATTTATCCTATAAAAGTAAGAAGTAAGGGAAGGGGGTGGGATGGAAAAGATGGATAAGAATGTTTAAAGGGGTGATGCTGATCAGGATATATTGTATTCACAAACTGCTTTGTTAAGTGGCAACTCCTTTGTACAACTACTTATTGATTTAAAAAAAAAAGTAAAGCCTTCCTTCAGGAGTAGAGAAAACTGAAGTTATAAAGCTATAAGAAAGTATGCTTAGGTAGAACAGATCACAAATCTGTTCCTTGAAAAACTGGGCTACCAATGAGGCTATGAAGTATACTAGTCAAGCAAGATAATTTGTAACTCCAGCATTCCTTTTCTTCAATTTCCTCTACTATAGCTCAATGCCATAGCTACAGCTCAACCACAGAAAATGTTTTACTTTATTGCCTACAGTTGGTTTCTACATACAATTCATCACAAAAAGTATGTATGTTGAAAGGTAGCTCCTAAATCTTTTCTCACACTAAAATTATCAAAGAAAGTAATTCAAAGGTAAGGCAAAGGAAATACTAATCGTAGAATAGAAAAATACTTGAAATCTAAAAAGCAAGATCACCCCCCTCAAAAAAAAAAAGAGAGCTGGGCGCTGGTGGCTCACGCCTTAATCCTAGCTACTCAGGAGGCTGAGATCTGAGGATCCCAGTTCAAAGCCAGCCCGGCAGGAAAGACCGTGAGACTCCTATCTCCAATAAACCATCAGAAAACCAGAAGTGGCGCTGTGGCTCAAGTGGTAGAGCGCTCACCTTTGAGCTGAAGAGCTGAGGGACAGTGCCCAGACCAAGAGTTCAAGCCCCATGACTGACAAAAAAATAAAAAATAAAAAAACGAGATGCAAAAAGTTTAGCACTATCCCAATATCTCAGGGAACAAAGTATTTTTTAAAGGCAAAAAAATATATCTTCTTCTCTTAAAATGATTGTTATTTCAAAGATAGAATCCAAACTTAACACAAAATATGTATCAAATACTCAGATTCATCTTGTAATTTTTCCCTCCCCTGCAAAAGATTAACTTGCATGTGTACTTTCAATTTCCTATTTATGCTCTGGAGAAAACACCATTTCAAACCACTACTGTAAAGCTTCAAGGACTCAATTCTTTGGTGTGACTTAAAAAGGTTTAGCTAAACCTTTGGGAAGTTTCTAAACAGATCAAAACAATGAAAATATATACTGCCTTATAACATTACAACAGAAGAGAGTAACACAGTAAACAATGTAAACTGGGTGCTTGTGTAAGTGTGCTTGCTTGATGTGCATGTATCTCACCAGGACGCACTTGGGCACTGGGGGTACGGCTTGGTGGTAAGAGCACCGGCCTGGAGCACCAAGGCCTGAGCCCAGATCCCAGTTGTGCCCACAAGTTTATGACATCTGAGAAGGCATCATGTACCAGTGACTACAAACTAAAGTTATTAAACTCCCTCAATGTCAATTTAAATTTGCTCAATTAAAATCATTTTCTGAACTTCAACCACAAAATTACGCTGAAAATAAGGAATTTTGTTAATGAATTTTAATGAAAATGTCAACATTGCTATCTTCATATGTACAACACAGAAAAAACACTCAAGTATAACAAGGGCATATTAATAGCAATTGGTACATCTGACTTGCTACTAGCATACAGAGGAATCAACACAAATTACACATATAATGGCTAAAATAAGTTTGCATGTTGTAGCAAACACATGGACTGGCTCTCTGAAAGCCAGCCACCATTACAGTCCCTATTACAGAATAGAGAGGAAAATATGAGATTTAAAATCTTTACAGATAACACAGGAGACTAGGGAGGGTTGTCCTTTCCCAATAAGAAAGGATAAGAGTTGCCAAGAGAAAGCCTCTGTGTTTCTTTTCCCTTTTCTTTCTTGAATGTAGATGAAAACCAGAGCACAGCTCACTTAAAGAAAACCGGTGGCCGGGTGCCGGTGGCTCACACCTGTAATCCTAGTTACTCAGGAGGCTGAGATCTGAGGATCATGGTTCAAAGCCAGCCGGGGCAGGAAAGTCCATGAGACTCCTATCTCCAATAAACCACTAGAAAACAGGAAGTGGCACTATGGCTCAAGTGGTAGAGCGCTCATGCTAAAAAGCTGAGGGACAGCGCCCAAGCCCAGAGTTCAAGCCCCACGACCGACAAAAAAAAAAAAGAAAAAGAAAAACGGTGGACAAGAACACCCAGACCAACATCGCAGACCAAGGCGAAAAGCTGGTGAAAGGGGGAAGGATCCCTGAGCTACTTCTCACGCTTCTGTTCTTAGTCCATAAAACATAACTGCTGTCGGATTAAGCTACTGTAACAGGGCTTTTGGTTACGATAGCTATGGATTCTCATAGTGGACACAAAATTCTTATATAAAAATTGAGAGTTATAGGAAAATCTTCACCAACTTCTCAAATATTCTAAAGATAACCTCAATGCTAAGCTTGTATTTCTGCTTTCTTCTTCATCATCTAAGCTAAATAACACAAAATCAGTATGGGAAGATGAGGACTGGAAAGTACATAGTAAAACTCCAGTTCCTATGCCGATGGAAGTGAGGAACTCAGAAGGAAGCAGGGCTGAGTGTAAAGCAAACAGGAATTCTATCCAGTATCTTCTACATATCAACTACAAAAACAAAACAAAACAAGTTTATTTCCCGAACAAAAGAAATTCCAACTCAGTTTTTAAGTCTGCACCTTCAAACTTGGGAAACTTTTCTCCAGCTCATCAGCAAGAGCTTTATCAACTTCCTGCAGAATTTTAAAAAAGTCTTCCACCTATAAGGCAAACAAAGAACTGAATTATCAACATGGAAGAAAAGGCAGTTCTAAAGACAATATGTTGAAAATGAACTTTACATAGGGAGGAGTTGGGGAGGTGGGGAGAGAAGGGATGGTAGGAGAAAAACAAAGGAGGAGGTAACAATGCTCGATAGGAAATGTACTCATTACCTTACTCATGTAACTGTAACCCCTCTGTACAGTATTTTTACAATAAAAAAAATTTTTTTAAAGGCAGTTCTAAAGATATTGATACCATTAGTTACAAAAAGGCTCTACCTGGGGTTTCTAAAAAGTCTTAAGAGAAAGACAGGTGGGTAGATCCCCCTATGACAGCAGGTAACAGCACTTCTTGAACAGTCAGTTCCTAAATAGCCAGGAAGGAAGTGATCTTCCCTAAACCACTCCGTGAACAGAGCTATCACAGACTCTCCTGCTGCTTCCTCTCACCGGTACTTCACCATCCTCCATTTTATTACATGTCCCCTCATGGCATCATTTCCTTACTTCACTCTCCTAAAAAAAACTTTCTAGCCTGAAACTGCTCCAATAGGAGCAAATGTATCACTTAGAGACTCTTCCTATGAATGGCACCTTTGCTCAATACATATTCTACCTACTTCATAACAAAAAGGGAGAGCATAAATGCCATGTTGATTCCTTCCTCTTACAGTTAGAACACTACAAGATACCCAAAAGGCATCTCGCTGACAAAGTATTAAGTCATGGGAATATACTTTCTTTTTTGACGATGGCTTCTAAGCATTAAGTCCTTATGTGAAAATAGCAATCCTGTGACATTCAACCCGTATATATTCACCCATACTCACCACAGGAATATAAAAAGGAAGGAGGTTTTGAAATGCACAGGAACATTTCTGTTTGTTTAACTGGCCTTCCTTTAGTCCCTGAACCACGGTCTCCTAAAACAACAAAAATCAATGTCAAAAAAGAAAGATTCCTAGCCAGGCGCTGGTGGCACACCTGTAATCAGGAGGCTGAGATCTGAGGATCGTGGTTCAAAGCCAGCCCGGGCAGGAAAGACCGTGAGACTCCTATCTCCAATAAACCACCAGAAAACCGGAAGTGGCGCTGTAGCTCAAGTGGTAGAGTGCTCGCCTTGAACTGAAGAGCTGAAGGACAGCGCCCAGGCCCAGAGTTCAGGCCCCACGACCGACAAAAAAAAAGGAAAAAAAAAAAAAGATTCCTAAAGCTACATCTGGTAAATAAATATAAATCAGTATATGACAATTCCTTACTGGTCAGGTCAGGCACTTCAGATGTCTCAAACTGAGCTCTCAATTAAGACCCAAACATGTTCTCTCCTGTCATCCTACTTCAGTTCAGGGTGCTACCACCCACCCTGCTGCATAGCCATGACTTTCCCTTCTCCACTGCTGCTCACTTCTCCACACAGGAGTTCAATTCTACCCTGCTAAACTTTTCTCTTATCTCACCCCTTTCATTACTTTTCAGGTTATTCTTTAAGATTGGTCTCCTAGCCTCAGGCCTTAATGACTCCATTCCTTCCTCTCTATTGCTTCTGCAATAATCTACTTTTTCTTTCTTTCTTTTCTTCCTTCCTTTCTCTTTCTTTCCTTTTCCTTTCTTTTCTTTTCTTTCTTTTTTTGCCGGTCCAGGAGCTTGAACTCAGGGTCTGGGCACAATCCTTGGGCCTCTTTGTGCTCAAGGCTAGCTCTCTACCAATTGAGACACAGCACTACTTATGGCTTATTCTGTTTATGTGGTACTGAGGAATTGAACCCTGGGCTTCATGCATGCTAAGCAAGCACTCTACCACTAAGCCACATTCCCAGCCCGCTTCAGAATTTTTATGATATGAATTTCCTCAGAATTTTTTAATTTTTGCTTATGTGGTGCTGGGGAATTGAACCCAGGGCCTCAGGCATGCAAGGCAAGCGCTCTACCACTGAGCCACCTTCCCAGCCCCTCCTCAGAATTTTTATGTAAGAATTTCTATGATTTAGTTCTAGATTTATTCTCAGCCCACCTTCCAGCTGTATTCCAGTAACTTGAGAAAAAACTTTTCTTCCCTCCAAAAAATAAAAAGTAACTGTAATCAATTAAAAAAATACTTGCAATGAATACAAAAAAGACATATTGTCCAAGAAGTTCATGTAAATAAACAAAATGAATATAAAACTGGAGAGGAGCTCAGTGGTATGCAAGGCCCTGAACTGGACTCTCAGCATCACACACAAGGAAAAAAACGTTAATATACTTATAAACCGAAACATAAATAATATATAAAATTTATAGAAAGATATTCCATCTCTATAATACCAAAAAATACAAATCCAAGTAAGCCACAATTTATCATCTATTGAACTTTACTTAGTATAAAAATTGTAATAAACAATATAAGAGTTAAACAAAGTGAACATTATCACATGTCAACAGCATTCTGGCAATACGGTCTGTTGGCATTAGCATATATAAATATTGCCGGGCGCTGGTGGCTCACGCCTGTAATCCTAGCTACTCAGGAGGCTGAGATCCGAGGATCGCGGTTCAAAGCCAGCCCAGGCGGGAAAGTGCGTGAGACTCTTATCTCCAATAAACTGCTAGAAAACCGGAAGTGGTGCTGTGGCTCAAGCGGTAGAGCGCTGGCCTTGAGCTGAAGAGCACAAGGACAGCGCCCAAGCCTAGAGTTCAAGCCCCACGACCAAAAAACAAAACAAAACAAAGCATATATAAATATTCTAAACTACATTAGTTGCTGTTTTCAGATTTTAAATTACTAGTGATATAAGACTTTACTTTTCCAGTTACAACACTTTCATACTAGAAAAACAATAGCAGGGCTAAGGATGCATCCAGTAGACTACCTAGGCATTCTGCGTTGGCCCATCTCCATGGTAGAAGACCTAGGATTCAATCCTAGCACTCCCACCACAAAAAAAAAAAAAAAAACTATAGAGTAATAAAGTTTAGGTAATTAGCAATCTACTTTCTTTTGTTGAAGAAACCACTAGTTTGTCTTTCTTACCTTTGTTAATGCCTGAAAAATATTAGAAAGAAATTCACATGAAATGTCCTTTAAGATTTTCATATGGAAGTCATCTTGAGTTAAATCAGACTTTTTAGTTTCTGCTGTATTAAAGTCTGTTGAATTCTCTGGTTTCTTCTGACAATGTTCCATATTTTGTAACACTCGAATTAGACTGTCAATTAGAGGAAGATCTACAGTATGAACAAATCAAGAGGCATAAATCAGCCAATCAAGTTTGGTATTTTATTTATTTATTCACTCATTCACTCCTATTGAACTAGTGCTAAACATATTTTAGGCAATAAAACATACAGTGATTAAAAAAAGAACACTAAGGCATTGGACTTTCAGGTAAATAATATAATAAAATAGGTCATTTCAGATTTTGGCAAATTATATGAAGGAAGAGGAAAATATACTAAAGCCAGTCAGCAGAGACTCTGAAAAGGTGACAATGAGAATGAACCAATAAGGAGCATGTGTGACACTAGAATAATTCTAGATGGACCATGGATTAAACTGTAGTCATATAAATAACTCTGCATAAGTGTTTACACAAGAAAGTATACTTTTGTATTTATATTTAAAATGTTGGCTTAAAGGCAGGACTATAACTGGGTGCCAATGGTTTATAACTATAATCCTAGCTTCTCAAGAGGCTGAGATCTGAAGGATCAGGCTTCGAGACAAACATGGACAAAAAAGTCCATGAGACTCCATTGCAATTAACTAGCAAAAATCTGAGGTGTGGCTCCAGTGGTAGAGCACCACCTGAGAAAGCAAATCTAGCAAGCATAAGGTCCTGAGTTCAAACTATAGTACTGAAAAAGCAAACAAACAAACAGCCAGACACTGGTAGTTTATGCCTACAATGCTGGCTACTCAGGAAGTTGAGAACTGGGAGAATGATGGTTCAAAAACAGCCTAAACACAATTTCAAGAGACTATATCTTCAATTAATCTCCAAAATGCCAGAATGAAGGTATAGCTCAAGTGTTAGGGTACCATCCATGAATGATAAAGATGAACAAGAGCTTGAGACCCTGAGTACAAATTTTAGTACACACACACAAACACACACGCACACACGCACGCACGCACGCGCACGCACGCACGCACACAGCAGGACAACAATTATCTCTGAATAGTCACATTGTAGTTTCCTGATGACTGTTTTTCCATGGTACTGGATGTTGAACTCAGGGCCTCAGCTATGTTAAGCACATGCCTTAAACTACACCCTCAGTCCCTCCTGCATGCTTATAATAAAATCTATGAGGTTTTTGTAAGGCACATGAAACACTTCTTGTGGATATGGGAATACAAAGATTTTTTTTAATTGGGGGAAAAGGCAAAAAACAAATGAAGACAATAGGCCTAAAATGCAAAACCTAAAGTATCCAATTAAATACAGTGTCAGAAATGATACCTACCTTTTTCAACCTTTAGGTATTCCTGTTCAGCCTGAGAAGCATAGATGGTGGACAACACTGAAAATACTGAGGCCAGCATTGTTTTCTGTTCTTGCAATATGATAGGTGGGTCATCAGATTGGCAGAGTTCATGGCAGACCAGATCAAAAAGTAAATTCCAAGTGTCTTTTCCAGTATCTGGACACTGTACTTAATAAAGATTGTAACAAAGTAGTAATTTAAAAACAGACAACAACTAAATTAGTAGCATAGTCTATCCCAATAAACCACCTTACCAATTGCTTGAATTCCATCATCCACTGTGGTAAGTAGCTGTAAGATGTGCATGTAAACATCAAGCCCTTCTGGGTTTTCAGAACTAAATACAAAAACCAAAAGTACTGATTCAGTAACTCCTCTGGGTAGAGAACCATAATCATTCATTCATTCACAAACACTCGTCACTGAGCTAGACACTGCTGTTGGTGCTAAGGATAAAAACAGGCAACAGAACAAAGTCTCTCCTAACATAAAGCTCATGCTTTTGTAGAGAAAACAGTAAACAAATATTATCCAATATAATTACATGCAAGATAAGAAGTAAAAATTCTTTTTGACTATATCTCACAAAAGCAGTAATGTACTAACCTGCTAGGTAAGGCTTCATCACTCTGGCTTACTTAGTTAATCAAAACAAATTAACTGGGACTACTGACAATACTGATGTTCTTAAAACTTCATAGAAGGGCTGGGAATGTGGCTTAGTGGTAGAGTGCTAGCCTAGCATGCATGAAGCCCTGGGTTTGATTCCCTAATACTACATACACAGAAAAAGCTGGAAGTGGTGCTATGGCTCAAGTGGTAGAGTGCTGGCCTTGAGTAAAAGAAGTTCAGGGACAGCACCCAGACCCTGAGTTCAAGCCCCAGGACTGGTCAAAAACAGGATGTTCCTGGCTCTCGAACTGGTAACACTAAATTCATGATCCCATGATTCTTTTAGTCGATATTTGTATTCTCAGGAACTCAAAATGTTGGTTCTTCAACCAAAATATTCAGTAAATGACAGTGAACAATAAGATGATGGTTCAGCAAATGTTTATTTAAGCAACTATTCTTTTTAGGCACAATGCTAGGGGGCTGGGATATCTTCATTAAAAACGTAAGTCTCGGGCTGGGAATGTGGCTTAGTGGTAGCATGCTTGCCTAGCATGCATGCAGGAAGCCCTTAATTCAATTCCTCGGTACCACATTAACAGAAAAGGCTGGAAGTGGCGCTGTGACTCAAGTGTTAGAGTGCTAGCCTTGAGCAAAAGAAGCTCAGGGACAGTGCCCAGGCCCTGAGTTCAAGACCCAGGACTGGCAAAAAAGAACAAAAACAACAAAAATTTAAAAGTCTAAAAGATAAGAAGGCAATTAAACGAGTAATTACAATAAAGCAAAATGAGCTGATCACCAGACAAAGTCCTAGGTGCTAACAGACCACAAAGCAAGTAGAATAAATTTAGTTTTGGGTGTCAGAGAATGGATCTTAAGAGAAACGACCTTCACACAGAAACCTGAAGAGACAAGAAGATTTTGAGAGAGAAGGGACATACTATACAAAGGCTTGGAGGACAGTGAAGAAATAAAGGATATTTCACAGAGCCAGGAGCTAGTGGCTGTAATCCTAGCTACTCAGGAGGCTGAGATCTGAAGGTCATGGTTCAAAGCCAGCAGGAAAGTCCGTGAGACTCTAATCTCCAATAAACCACCAGAAAACCAGAAGTGGTGCTATGGCTCAAGGTGTCAGAGTGCTAGCCTTGAGCAAAAAAAGCTCAGGGACAGCACTTACGCCCAGAATCCAAGCCCTAGGAATGCACACACGCGCACACATACACACAGAAAAAAAAAAAATTCAGGTAAGAGAATGTGGGTGGTAAGGGATAGCAGAGCACAGATGTCTGACTGGGATCCCAAGAGAAGTCAGGAAAAGCTTGGGGGCTGACTGGCTTGGTAGGGAAAAGGTTTATACAGTGTCCCAATGCAATAATGACTGCATCATTCACTGACTGAATATACTGAAGAAGCAGGTTTGGGGGAAAGCATAGATTTAATCCTCATTTTAAAATGACATAAAATTAATAGCTCGTAATGGAGATTACACTATTAACTACTAATCAAATGAATGCAAATACTAATTTTCTAGTGACTGGTAATAATCTGTTTCAATGGCCTCTAGTAGTGGTCTCTCGTAGCAAGACACCTCTCAGACAGGTGCACAGACACAAGTGGCAGGAAAACTCCTGTGGTCAATGAACAGGAGTTCTCACATGTTCACTGTAAAATTAAACACAAGAAATTCTTTGTTCTTCTTTGGTTTGAAATACATAAAATTAATGACAAAATTGAGACAGTAACCAAACTAATGCTCAATAATTATCTACAGCTAAATGATATCAGTTATGTTGAACCTTATTGATTCTTACAAAAAAACACTGTCACAACAAACATTAGTAGCAAGTCAAACCTAAAAAGATTGGCTGTCTACTTCATCCTGTGTAGAGGAAACTAGGATTTTTCTATCTAAGGACCTATCTACTAATTGGAATTTTCCAGAACATTTTGCATAAGCGCTTACCTACCGTACTTGTTTGGCAGCTTCCAGGACACAGGGCACAATCCTGAATACTGGCCGCTCTTCAGAATCTTCCTGGAGTTGGTCCAGAGGCTGAGCAACTCCATTTTTAATCCATTCCAACATTAGTTTCTCATCCAAATCAAAGAGCTTGTCTACAACCTCCCCCACTTTCACCAGCAAGTCAACTGCAGAGAATAAAACAGATACTTAATGAAATATTTAAAGTAATAAGAGTAAACAAAATTTCTAAAGAAAACCTAATTCTAAGAAAGGCAAATCTTACCAAAGCAATACTAACTCCAAGAGCATTTTGTGATTCATGTGTATTTCAATTTACTTATCTTTCTCTTCTCCTTTCTCTCTTTTTCTTTCTACATACACTTTAGTGGTATTAGGATTTGAACTCAGAGCTTTACATTTACCAGGCAGGTGCTCTACCACTTGAGCTTGCCCCCAGCCCATTTTCACACTTCTTTTTTTTATTTGCCAGTCCTGGGGCTTGAGCTCAGGGCCTGGGCACTCTCCTTTAGATTCTTTTGCTTAAGGCTAATATTCACTTGAGCCACAGTGCCACTTCAGGCTTTTCTATTTATGCAGTACTCAGGAATTGAACCCAGGGCTTCATACATGCTAGGCAAGCACTAAATCACATTCCCAGCTCTTACACTGGTTCTTTTGAGGTAACATCTCACTTTTGTTTGGGGCTGGCCTGGACCATGATCTTCTTATTTACATTTCTCACTGTAGCTGGGATGACAAATTCAGCCATTTAAATTGATGAAGTATAATGAACTTTTCTATCATAGCTGACCAGAATCTCAAGGCTTCTGATCTCAACCTCCAGGATGACAGGCAAGCACCATTGTGCTTGACTATTGGTTGAAAAGGGATCTCAAAACTTTTTGCCCCAGCTGGCAAACAGTATCCTCCCAATCTCAGCCAAGCAGGTAGCTAGGATGGTCACTGGCCTCTGGAGGCATCTGGCCTCTTCTGCTTTTGGGTTTTTTTGGCCAGTCCTGGGACTTCAACTCAGGGTCTGGGCTCTGTCTCTGAGCCTCTCTGTGCTCAAGGCTAGCACTCTACCAACTTGAGTCATAGCACCATGTTTCCAGTTTTTCCTGAGTAGTTCATTGGAGATTAAAAATCTTCACAGCCGGGTACCAGTAGCTCACACCTGTAATCCTAGCTACTGAGGAGGCTGAGATCTGAGGATCATGGTTCAAAGCCAGCCTGGGCAGAAAAGTCCGTGAGACTCTTATCTCCAATTAACCACCAGAAAACCAGAAGTGGTGCTGTGGCTCACGTGATAGAGTGCTTGCCTTGAGCTGGAAAAGCGCAGGGATAGCGCTCAAGCCCAGAGTTCAAGCCCCATGACTGGGGGAAAAAAAAAGTCTTCACAGACTTTCCTGTCTGAGCTGGCCTTGAATCGTGATCCCCAGATCTCAACCTCTTGGGAAGCTAGGGTTACAGGCGCGAGCCACAGGCACCTGGCTTCTTCTTTCACTTTTAAGTGAAGGATTTATCTGCATCATGGAACTTTAAGAAATTTCAGCCAGGCGCTGGTGGCTCACGCCTGTAATCCTAGCTACTCAGGAGGCTGAGATCTGAGGATCTCGGTTCAAAGCCAGCCCGGGCAGGAGAGACCATGAGACTCCTATCTCCAATAAACCACCAGAAAACCGGAAGTGGCGCTGTGGCTCAAGTGGTAGAGCACTCGCCTTGAGCTGAAGAGCTGAGGGACAGCGCCCAGGCCCAGAGTTCAAACCCCACGACTGACAAAAAAAAAAAAGAAATTTTACACCCTGAATTGAAATACTTCCTTTGGACTTAGCTATTTTTATTTATTTTTTGTCAGTCATGGGACTTGAACTCTGGGCCTGGGCGCTCACTGTCTCTGCACGCTTCAGCTCAAGACGAGCGCTCTACTGCTTGAGCCACGGCACCACTTCCGGTTTTCTAGTGGTTAATTGGAGATAAGAGTCTCACCGACTGTCCCGCCTGGGCTGGCTTCGAACTGCGATCCTCAGATCTCAGCCTCCTGAGTAGCTAGGATTACAGGCATAAGCCACCGGCACCCAGCTAGTATTTTTATGTTTTTATTTGTTCATTTTTGGTGGTACTAGGATTTGAACTCATGCTTGCTAAGCAAGTATGTTACAAGGTTGAGTCATTCCCTCTACCCTTACCCTCAACTGCAGCTCCGTTTTGCATTATTTATATTTCAGATAAGATTTCTTGTGGTGTGTGTGTGTGTGTGTGTACTTGTGCTGGTCCTGGACTTGAACTCAGGACCTGGGCACTGTCTTTGAGCTTTTTTGCTCAAAGCTAGCATTCTACCACTTAAACCACAACTCTACTTCTGGATTTTTTGGTAGTTAATTTGAGATAAGAGTTTCTTAAACTTTCTTGCCCAGGCTGGTTTCAAACTGTGATCCTCAGAATACATACTCTCAAGTAGCTAGGATTGTAGGCATGACCCACTGCGTCCAATGATCTCATTTTCGATCAGGGCTAACCATGGATTGCAACCCTGTACTACCTGCAGCCTCCCTGTGGCTGGGACTGCAGACAGGCAGCCCTCTACTAACTACAGCCTCCCTTTAGCTGGGATTACAGGCATGAACCATCTAGTTGATTGAAATGGGAGTCTCACCAACTTTTTCCCTGGGCTGCTCTTGAACTGAAGTCCTACCTAACTCTGCCCCCTGAGTAGCTAGATCAAGTATGAGTCACCATGCCTGGCTTTTTTTAAAAGAGACTTCCAGAAATAGTTACCTGTAACAATTAAATATAATCTAAACTCTTTTTTTCAAACTTTTTTTTTTTGGTGGTCCAGTTGTGGGGCCTGAACTCTGGGCCTGGGCACTGTCCCTCAGCTCTTCAGCTCAAGGCTAGCGCTCTACCACTTGAGCCACAGCACCACTTCCGGCTTTTTTTCTTTTTGCTTATGTGGTGCTGGGGAGTCGAACCCAGGGCCTCATGTATGCAAGGCAAGCTGCTCTACCACTAAGCCACCTTCCCAGCTCCTTTTTCAAACTTTTTTAAAAATTTACAATAAAAGTTAACAGTCATCATGGGCTTGAATCTAAACTCTTTTTTTAGATTACATGTTACATACCATTTGTTGAACTTGACATGATGAAGCAAATGCTGTCATAAATAGCTGGATGCTCCCGAATCCTTTCAACCCAGACACTGGCCACTTCTGTCTGGGAAAGGCAAGTAAGCAACAACCTATGTAAGAAATGTGAGCTTAATATCATCTTTTTAAAACAGAAAAGGAAGTACAAGAACCAATTCTATCTTCCTAAATTCCCTCTGAGTAACTGCATAGTCTCCACAGAAAGAAAAGCACACACCTGCTTGTTTCCAGTAGAGTAGGTGGGTCTGAATCATACAAACAATGAAGTAACACCTGCCTACAAGACAAAAAAGTTAGCCATAAGCTTTACCTCTCTCACTCCAAACATCAGAATTTCCATTTAACTTTTGAAAACATTTTTTCTTATGAAATAAAGCATATTTCAGTTAATGAATAATTACAAAATAAATGCTCATGTTCCTAAGAACCAGAACCATACAGCTCATCTATCTGTAGCCTCTAGGTGTCCCATAAGGTCCCAATACTCTTTCCCACACAGAAAGGGTCATTTTGACTTTGCCAGTAACCATTCTTTGCTTGCTCTATAGTTCCTGCAGAGAGAACTAGACTGCAAGACATGTGAAAGACTTTTCACCACAGAGGCAACTCATCTTCTTCTAGTCTGTTGGCAATTCCCATTCCCTCATCTAAGTCGAAGTTCTCAGAGACACTGCTCAAATATGCTAACTTCCCAGGCCCCAAATCTGAATCCTTGGATTCCCTAGGCCTAAGTTGTTTTGGATTCTAATCAGCTGTCCCAATCTCCAAGTTTGGCCCCAGATTCTTCCTTGTGCCTGCTTACTGCCTGTTGGCATTTGCTAATGAAGAAAGCTTAATCCAGAACCATGTGCACACTTAAATCCTGAATCATGTGCACATACAGTGTGCAAGCCACCCACCGCCCCCGCAACTCCCCCATCAATACACAATGAAGTTCCCAGAGTATGCATGAAGACACAAGAAGCACTGTTTCCTGTTTTTCTATGTCTCCTATGCATTAGGACTTCCCTAGGGATGTGAAATATGAATGTATTTTGAGAAATGCAGCAAGACTTACCCAAGATTTTCATCACTGCTGATGGACATACATATCTTCTGGAAACAGGCCATGTTACCTAAAATTCCCACACAGATTTCCTGCCAAATCAAATTTCACAGGTTACAATGGCTTTGAGGTGAAAAATATTTAAGAAAACAACCTGAACAAAAAGTTTCACTCAACTAAGGTTGGGTGGAAGTGAAGGTAAAGCAGGATATAGATATACTGCTTGCACCTAACACACAAAACTAGATAAAGAATAAAAGCCACACACAAAAGAAAGAGCAAAGAAGGCAGGAGCTATGGAAGAAGAAACATTTATGGATGAAATGAGTGTTAAGGGAATGAGGTATATGGCTAATGTATTCATGGCTAATAAAGAAGGCACCAGACGGTAGCACGAAGTGGGAGAGCAGTATAAGGTAAACTAACAGATAAAAAGCTCCAGGGATTAAGGACTTTGATTGCCATAAGAGGTACAGACTAAATATGTGAAGATATTTAAGAAGCCATTAAGGTTCTCAAAAAGGGCCACCAATATATAGAAACAGTACGTTAGGAAGATTATTCTGGCAGTAAGATGAATAATGCATTATAGGTAAAAAGGTCTAAAAAAAGAACCTAATTCAGTAAGAGCATAAAGCGTGATAACTGAGAACCAGCAGGTCTAGGCACTGTTTCTTGTTTGTAATATATTGTATAGTATAATATGGGTATGCCTATCTGGTTTTCATAGTTGCCAAATGAACAGACTGATCTCCCTGATCATGCTCAATTTGAAAAATTTAAGGCTCTAACAATTTTAAGTAGCATATTACCTAACAATGTCCAATAAGCTTTTGCAAACTGATTTCTTTTATTTATAGCTAGTAAAAAAAAAAAATCAAACTGAGGAAAATGAATGTAAGTACTTACTCTTAATCGGGGACACTTGGATTTTGCCAATACTCCCATAAATATGTCAGGAGCGTTAAATTCTTGGAGAAATAAAGCCACATCCTATTTTTTAAAAAAAGATTATTAGCTTGGATGTTAATATTTCTCTTTAAACACTGTAGTTAAGGCACCCATTGAAAAAAAAGAAAAAAGAATTTCACCAGATGCCAGTGGCTCACATCAATCCTATTCAGGAGGCTGAGATCTGAGGATCACAGTTCAAAACCACGCTGGGCAGGAAAGTCCATAAGACTCTTATCTCTAATTAACCAACAAAAGCCAGAAATGAAGCTATGGCTCAAATGGTAGAGCAGTAGCCTTGAGCAAAAAGACTCAGAGACAGCACCCAGAACTGGCACACAAAAAAAAGTTAACTCTATATATACCACCCTTTACCCACAAGTTAGGAATTATGTCAAAAGACAAAAAAGCAGGGTGCCACTGGCTCATGCCTGTAATCCTATCTACTCAGAAGACTGAGATCTTTAGACCATTGTTCAAAGCCACCCAGGCAGGAAAGTGAATGAAACTCTCATCTCCAATTAAACACACACGTGCGTGTGTGTGTGCGCGCGCACACACACACACACACGCTGGAAGTAGAGTTGTAGCTCAAGTGAGGCTGGAAGTAGAGCTGTAGCTCAAGTGCTAGAGGACTAGCCTTAAGCATAAAAGGTCAGGGATAACACCCAGACCCTCAGTTCAAGTCTTAACACTAGCACGCACGCACGCACGGACACAGGGACACGGACACACGGATACACACACACACAATTATTAGGGAATCTTTGTGGTATCTACCATAATAAAACAATTCCACAAACTAACCATGATACGCCAAAGAATTACCCTCCTTTTACTCTGACCTGAATATATTTACCTAAATCATTTTTAATTAGCATACATTATACAAGGGGATTTCAGTGAGACATTTCCATGAGTATATACAATGTATTCCAGGGCTGGGAAGGTGGCTCAGTGGTAGAGCACTTGCCTTGCAGGCATGAGGCCCTGGGTTCGATTCCTCAGCACCACATAAGCAAAAAGAAAAAAAGCCGGAAGTGGTGCTGTGGCTCAAGTGGTAGAGTGCTAGCCTTGAGCTGAAGAGCTGAGGGACAGCGCCCAGGCCCAGAGTTCAGGCCCCACGACCAGACCCAAAAAAAAAAAAAAACAATGTATTCCGGTCCATCCTCCCATCACTCTCTCTTACTCTCCTTTCCCCTTCCTAATACAATTTAAAAAGGACTCATTGTTCTATTTAACAGCTGCTTAGGAGCAGGAATAAGGGAATGTTTGAGGCCAGACTGGACAAAGAAGACAGTTCACAAGACTGTATCTTGATCAATGGCATGCACCTATGGTCCCAAACTAGGGGAAAAGCACAATAGCTAGGCAGTAGCATGTGCATGTAATACCAGATATGTGGGGAAACACAGAGGACACTGGGCATAAAGGAAGACCCTATTTTGAAAATAATATAAGGAAAGAAAGGCTTGCAGAGTGGTTCTGGTTGTAGAGCACCTGCCTAAGCAGTAATACCAAAAACAAAACAAAAAAACACTGCCTAGTGATATTATAGCTTTCTTAAGAACACTCTGTGATATACATAGGATGAAACTGTGCATACCTTCAGAGACAGAATTCCAGAATTCTTAGCATTCATAAATTATTATCTATTGAAAAAACAATATTAGGACTTCATCCCTTGAATCATATATTCAAGAGACTACAGATACTATATCTATATAAAGCCTTTCCTCAGAGAGTGAAAGATTAAACCTTTGAAAAACTCCATTTGCCACCCCTCCCCAGATGAGTCTTTTTTCAGTTTCACTTCTAGTCCCATACCTCATCCATGGACATATCCCATACTCTGCAAATTTCATTCTCCATTTCTTCATCAAGCTCTGTCTGCTGCTCCTCATCTTCTGAGCTGTATTTCCCATTCTCTGGTGTAACAATCTTTAGTGACACAAAGTGGGGAAAAAGGATGAATGACAACTGTCCCTAGTTCCTCACAGCTCCTTTTCATTTAGAAATCACAAGAGACTATTCTCAAAGTATATTCTTTGGCAAAAATCTTGTTTTAAAAAATTAGCACTTTGTCCACCATGCCAGCTTTCAGCCTGATGTGTTAACCTTCTTGGCAGTCATGTAACCTACTCAACACACTTCTTTAAAATACCACTTTGGGGTTAAGTAGAGCATTAGTTGTGTGTGAAAAAGCTGAGCAAGAAGCTCACTAGTAGATCAGAGCTGTAATCCCAGTTATTCAGAAGGCTGAAATCTGAGGGTTGCAGTTCAAAGCCCGCCAAGGCAGGAAAGTCTGTAAGATTCTTATCTCCAATTAACTACTAAAATTCTGGAAATGGAGCTGTGGCTCAAGTGGTACAGCACTTGTGTTGGACAACAACAACAACAAAAAAGCTCAAGGACAACACCCAAGGCTCTGAGTTCAAGCCCCAGGACCAACTCAAAAAAAAAAAAAAAAGATTGGAGAGTATACATTTAAAGCAGGAAAAAGAAGCGAAACGTGGAGGAAGAAAACTCACATTTACTGCAGGATTCTTCAAAGACCAAACACCTCGCCACGCATTCTGTGATCATTACCATTTTATGTAACGTACTTCATGTGTGCAAAAAGCCTCTACTATAGTATAGCTATCACGATTGTATTTGGCGGGAGAAACCGAAGCGTTGCCCAAAGTAATGTAGCCTTGGATATCAGCGCTGTGTATCTCCAAAAATCACCATTTATTTCACTACCCCAAATCCATGAAATAAACAAATCAGGGTCTGCCAGTGGGGCTGAGGATCAGAATCCCCACAAAGGACTTGCGTGGTCATCGGTGCGGGGTAGGCTAACGGCCGGCCCCGGCACCCCCGCCTTCCAACTCAACCCTTGGTGTTGACGCGCCCAGGGTAGCGCCACCGCGCTGCAGCGCCCCGGGAGGGCCCGGGAAGGGATCCCCGGGGAGGACGGGGAGACAGGGCCCGGGGAGGGGGGGGAAGAGGCCCGGGGTGTGTGGGGCGCGGAAGGCGGCAGGGAGGACTCGGGGGAGGGCCGGAGGGGGCTAACTTGGGGGGGGGTCTGGAGAAGGTCCCGCGGGAGGGTTCCGAGGGGCGGCCGAGGCGGGGCCCGGCTACCGGGGAAAGGAGGGAGAGCCAGCGCGCGCCAGTGTCCACACCTGGATGAGCCCGCTGAGGACACCAAACAGCCAGTGCTTGCTGTAGACCGTGCTCCCTATGCAGTCTCCGCCGGCCTCCTCCTCCTCGTCCGCCCCGTCGGGGCGGCTGGGTGGGGGCGAGGGGTTGCGGTCCATGACCAGCGCGCGCGAGCCACGCCGGAAGCTGCGGAGGAGGCGAGAGGAAGCCTGGAGCCAGAGGGGCCGGAGCGTGGCGCCCGCCACAGCGCCCCCTGCTGTCAGGAGCCCGGCCTGTGCCACTGACGACTAACTCGCCTAGGATCAGACATGCGCAAGCTCTTTTAAATTTTCTCTTGTAAAGATGCTGTACAGAGAGGTTACAGTTTCATAGTTCTTATTTATCAAGTTCAGATATTCCTGTTTCTTTTCATTGGAGGAGCAGGTGGCTGGGTCTTCCTACAGAGGTAAGTCCTGAAACCATCAGCCCTATCGCACTTGCCTTCAGGCCTCTAGATTTCTCCACATCTGACCTCGTCGCCATTCTTCAAAGACATCTGTCCAACCTGGTATGGTGGTGGTGCACCTCTGAAATCCCAGCTACGCTGGAAGCATAGATAGCGATAACAATCTGAGACAGGCCTGGGCTATGAGCACTGAGATGCATCCCTCCACCCCACAAATGAATAGCAAAAGCAAAAGGACTGGGATGTGTGGATCGAGTGATAGAGGCTGGCCTAGAAAGCAGGGGCCCCTGAGTTCAATTCTTTTAGGTGTGGTTGGAAAAGTGAGAAGGACAAAATCATCAATAAGAATGTCAGTATTCAACTTCATATATTTTCAGTAAAGGTTCTAATTACTTCAGTGTTACTCTCAGACCTTTTAAATATTTCACAACATACTCTGTGGGGGAAAAATAGTTTATAGATTTCCACATGTAATTTCAAAATTGCCAATAAGATGTCCTAACATGAATGAAGGATACAAAAAATTAATTCAAATAAAAGAAGCTGGTGGCTCATGCCTGTAATCCTAGCTACTCCAGAGGCTGAGATCTGAGGATCACAGTTCAAAAACAGCATGGGCAGGAGAGTTTCTGAGACTCTTATCTCCAAGTAACCACCAAAACCCCAAAAGTGGAGCTGTGGCTCAAATTGGTAGAGCACTAATCTTGGGAAAAAGAGCTCAGGGACAGAACCCAGGCCCTGAGTTCAACACCTACAACCAAAAGAAAAGAAAAGAATTAACAACAATTCCCCTTATTTACTGGGGACACACTTACTCAAGACTCTCAGAGAATACATGAATTTGTGGATAGTATCAGCCTGTTTGTATGGGTGAATGTGTCTGGGTGTGTGTATCCTTTCTATACATGTATGCCTTTAATAAAGTTTAATTTATATGTTAAATACAGTAAGAGATTGATAATGGCTATTAATAAAATAGAATATTATAACAATCTACTGCACAGAGTTGTATACATATGCCCTCCCCTTTCAAAATATCTTCTTGTACTGTACTTACCACTTTTCTTTTCATGATAATATGATATTATACACTGCCTGTGAGATTAGATAAAGTATGACATAGACATTGTGTCACATTAGACCACCACATAAGAGTTATTGGCACATTAACTTTGCTATCCTGAGACAATGGATCTGAAAACAAAGGAAGTATACCGAGTGTCTAAGTAGTGGTAGTATATGCAGTGTGGGTACACTGGACAAAAGGATGATTCACATCTCATGAGGGTCACAATGAGAGAACTTAAGGATGACAAAGACCCATGGCCCTGCATTTTTCCTGAGTGAGCACAGATAGAAGCCTCTCCAGCCTAACTTCTTAAATTTATGTGATACAACATAAAAAAATTTATGTGATACAACATAAAATGAGATTAAAGGGATAGGAAGCCCCTAACTCTAACACCCCCTAAACCATACTTCAGGTAGCTGCCATAGTACACACTGCTGTCACATAGCTGTGCTGAGGATTAAACGCCTCAGGAAACATCTCAGGACTGTGTCAGGGGCCCATTCTCCTTTGACTCCACTTGAAACGCATGCTTAATGCCCAGAAATGAACCATTTATCTTTCTGTCTCTGTCAGTATTGGTATCTGGCTCTGGTCTACATATTACCCAGCTCCAATATCCAAGAACCACCATTCTTCTTACCTTAGAGGATTAGTGTAAGGATTAAACAAGATCTTACATCTAAAGTGATACTGCTTTATAAAGAAATATGCAGCCTTTAGTACTACATACTGAGCTTTTGTCTCTAATTGTACCCTCCCTTTCAGTAACAAGTCTCTATGAAGACTAAAGTGGATGAACTCCTGGTTCACAGTTAACTCAATGGCTGCAGACTCTTTTTTTTTTTTTTTTGGGTCCGGTCATGGGGCCTGAACTCTGGGCCTGGGCGCTGTCCCTCAGCTCTTCAGCTCAAGGCTAGCGCTCTACC